TTTTGTGGGAAATTCAGTATCAATAGGTTTGGGTTTGGAACAAGGGAGTTGGTAGTGTTTAAAGAGAGTAATTATAATGATGACTGGTGGATTTACAGCTGGAAAAGAGGATTCCCCAGTGTCAGGTGGGTTGAGGTGGCTAAGGGAACAAAGCACCAGGCAACAACCAATCAGAAGCCCTCAGACAAGTAGTGATAACCACCTGTCAATCAACGGGGTCTCCTGACTGATCCTGGAAGGACATAGAACTCTAAGATCCCCCGACCAACCCCAGGAGGACAAGGAACCCTAAAAACTTCCCTTTCCTGTCCCAAGCCCTTCGTTCCTGCGCTAAGCACGATAAAATTACAATCCTCCGGCTGAGCTCGGTAGCGACTCCCCCGGACCCCTGTGTTGGGCTGGAGTGTCTCGCCAGGGAGCAAATCTCAATAAAGACTTAATCAACTGCTTTTTAATCTGCGTCCTTTTGGTCACCGGTGCCTGACCTTCAACCTCTCATAGAGGATGAGAGTTATTAAAAGTGGGTCATTAAAAGTTGGTAGGGTATAGCTCAGTGGTATACTGAGGGTATAGCCAAGGGTATAGCTCAGTGGCTTGCCTACTATGTGCAAATTCATGGGTTGGATCCCCAGCACCGCCAAAACAAACAAAAAACACCGCTGGTAGGATCAATAAATTACAGAAGAGGAGAAAGGAGGTGTCAGAGGATTGTTGGGAGTCAGAATCCTAGAGGAAGTAAGAAAGACAACAGGGGTAGTGAGAGATTGAGACCGGGAATATAAATACACAGCGACAGTGTGGCCACGGGAAGATTTAGAGGGCAGCAATCCAGGTGTGTCTTGGAGCGGGATGGGGGTGGATCTGTGAGTGCTGGGGAAACGGGCTGAGGGGTGGGGGAGTCCAAAGGCTGCAGTGGCATGATCAGATTTGCGTTTTAAAATATTTCCTTTGGCTTCTATGTGGAGAACGGACCTCGGGGAAGAGCCAGGGTGAAAGCAGAGAAACTTGTGAGGAGGTGTTTAGGAAGCAGACCAGGTATTTGGTGGGTAGAATCGATGGGATTTGCTGATGGGTATGTGATGGGTGGTGGAGGAAGGAATCAAGAAGGACTCCCCAGCGGGGATATCCAGCAGAGGGGCATCTTTGTAGGAGGCAGGAGCGAACCCCCCAGCACCGAAGCGAATGTTGCCGGGAAGACAGTGATTCCTGTCTGTCTGCGGCGGATTCTGAGGTAGATGGTTCTTTAGAACTGACTAATTAGGACTTCTCGAACTAAAAACCACTTCCCCCGGTGCCGCCGCCTTGTCTCAATCCCAGGCCAAATACCTCCCCGAAACTCTCCCTCCTTAACTCCCGGCCGCACAGACAAAAGCGCAGGACGCAGGGCCTGAATCTACTTACGAACTGGCTCTTGCGGCTTCTCCGAAGTCCCCGGAGCATCCTTGCTGCAGGGGTTGGCCAGGCCCGGGGCTGGATTTACAAACATAGATCCCCAAAGCTGGGGACTCCTCTTTAAATATCGGTCTCGCTCCCAAGGGCCTAACTCCAGACGCTTTTTTTTCCCTAAAGGACTTCGAAACAACTTCGCCTGCCATTGGCTGTGTTTGGTCTTTGACCAATCAGAGCCAAGGTTACTTCCACCTCCGTCGCTCTTGGCAACTAGCGGGTCCCGTTTAAATATCCACCAGTGAGGAAGCGGTCCACGCTTTCAGCTCTCTTATTGGTCACCTCAGGTGCTCGTCTCTGACACCATAGCCTATCTGGCACTGTGGAAGGCCGAAGGCGGGTAGAATGAAAAACTAGGCGAGCCCGGCGGGTTGGAATCCGGAAGTGCGGCAGCCTCGGGTAATGTTTCGGGAACCTCTGGACCGGGGCGGAAGTGGGGTCCCTGCCTCCTGGGTCCTAATTCCGGACTGGACTGAGCAGCCTCAGCACGAGCCGAGCTGGGGCACCAGGGCCCAGGCAGGTGCTGAAAATGAG